TAAACTTTTGAAGATTGTTCTTATACAAACTTGGATCAACCATAAGCTAAAATGTAATAAAGTGGTAATATATAAGAGCCGATGTGAAATCTAATGTGGATTCTAAGATATATAAACAGATTTTTCACCTTTGTTCCATCATCCCTTCTGATGTGCATTATTGCAACCGCACGACCGTATTTAGACTTTTTCCATCCCTGCTAATATTTGTTTAGATTCCTTGCGAATAAAGATTGTAACTTATATTATTGTCCGCTAACCTTTCTTTCGTGAACATTGTTGTCTGTTACCAAGCTCATGTCTTCAGCAAACATCGTATCTACATATCTACACCTACGTTTTTTTGGGACCAATGATGAATCATTTAAAGCCTTTTGCTTTTCCCATTCTTCTCTCAACCTTTTTATTATTAAAAGTTAAGTGATTGTTGTTTATAATATGATCAAACTTCCAGATCAAGCTATAGTTATCAGAATTAATATACAAAACAACAATTGCCTTTGTTTATAGTCTGGTTTAGCGTCTTGAATCTTTAATGTCATTCCTTTCCATTTTGCACCATTAAAAAGGGACATGCCTTTATTATTATTGATAAATATTTAACGTTACAAATTATATATTCTTTAATTTGATAAATTAGCATAAAAGACATATAAAACTGCTTAATCGTACACTTTTTCCAGTTATCAGTTGTACTCTCAATAATTATAAAAGCAAATCCACGACATTCCCCTAATGTAAAAACCCAACTAGAAGGATGAAAACTGTTTGTAATACAATGCCTTTTCACAAAAAATTTTTTTTTCTTTTTACCTGTGCTTGGATCACGTACAATGTCTATTTTAGATATTACACCAAACGAACCAAACCGATTTTTAAGATCGTCTTCGGTTATGGATTTAGAAAGACCACCAATATAGGCGCGTCTTTTTAAAGTTTCAACTGTACGTAGCGAAAACTAATTCACTACTTGATTTAAGAATTTAATAATATCACAATGGGCTACAATTATTTACCTGTTACTACGCTCTGATCCGACATCATTTTTCGATGATTACAAAGAAAATTTTTTTATCATCTGTATTACATATATTATACAATGAGATCATCAGATTTCCCGATCTTTTATCTTGTGCATCTCGCCACATTACTGCATTAATTAGATGTGGGATGATTTTTTTTTTATCTCTTATCGGGGTTTTGGCACCTGATTGATTTGGAGCTATAATAGAGCCATTAAAAAAAAAAACACTTTTCGTCTGCAATTTTTGAAAAGTCTCCAATTTTTTAGCATAGAAGCATGTCCAGTCAAGTCATTGTCGTTGGTGGTGGTCTCTCTGGCCTTTCCGCTGCTCACACGGTTTTGGAACATGGTGGTAACGTTTTGGTTCTCGATAAGAACTCTTTTTTTGGTGGCAACTCAACGAAAGCCACGTCTGGTATTAATGGTGCCTTGACCAAAACTCAGATAGGTGGGTAAAACAGGAGGAAAAAAAAAAAAAAAGATGTAAAAGCAATTATC